TTATAGGATCCTGACCCTTTGTAATTCAGGCCCAACCTACTATACCCAAATCTTATTTCAGTACACTAAGAAATTTATGGGTACCCTTCTCCTATAGGTTAGTGGATTATGACACTTACTTTCTAAATATAGTAATAAGGACTATCTCACTCCAAAACTGCCAACCTAGGCTCTCTTGGTGACCTCCAAGTTGTGGTGTACCCTGCGGTTACCAACCGGTTGTAGATGCCGGATATACCTGTGATGTGATGTGGATAGTTCCTCCCTTTGGTTTCCCAAAGTTCAGGGACCATTCTTATCTGTGCCAAAGGTTGCCAGCTTTTATGCTGACCTATTCATAACTGATTCTACTTTTTGCTATATAGCAGATCTTACCGGATCTTACAGGCCGGCTTGCATTTCAGCATTTCAGCAAAACTTCTTATTAGGAAAAACATGCCTCAACACATCCTAAATTCCAAGGAATTAATACTGATAAAATATAAGAATAAAATGGATTAATTTCAGGAAAAGAAACATATTAATTGATACTGCTGGCTGGATTAGTAGGATATAATAGCTAGCAAAATAATCCTATGGGCTACAGGCTGTGAAACAATCAGTCCCCCTGCCCCTGTGCTTACTCACCATTTTACTCCTGCACTTAGGACGGAAGAATCCCATGTACTGCTACAGACTAGGGACCAAATGGCTAGGCAGCAGTTCTGCAGAAAAGGACCTAGGGGTCACAGTGGACGAGAAGCTGGATATGAGTCAACAGTGTGCCCTTGTTGCCAAGAAGGCTAACGGCATTTTGGGCTGCATAAGTAAGGGCATTACCAGCAGATCGAGGGACGTGATCTTTCCCCTCTATTCGACATTGGTGAGGCCTCATCTGGAGTACTGTGTCCAGTTTGGGGCCCCACACTACAAGAAGGATGTGGAAAAATTGGAAAGAGTCCAGCGGAGGGCAACAAAAATGATTAGGGGGCTGGAGCACATGACTTATGAGGAGAGGCTGAGGGAACTGGGATTGTTTAGTCTCCAGAAGAGAAGAATGAGGGGGGATTTGAAAGCTGCTTTCAACTACCTGAAAGGGGGTTACAAAGAGGATGGATCTAGACTGTTCTCAGTGGTACCAGATGACAGAACAAGGAGTAATGGTCTCAAGTTGCAGTTGGGGAGGTTTAGGTTGGATATTAGGAAAATTAGGATATTAGGATATTTTCACTAGGAGGGTGGTGAAGCACTGGAATGAATTACCTAGGGAGGTGGTGGAATCTCCTTCCTTAGAGGTTTTTAAGGTCAGGTTTGACAAAGTCCTGGCCGAGATGATTTAGTTGGGGTTGGTCCTGCTTTGAGCAGGGGGTTGGACGAGATGACCTCCTGAGGTCCCTTCCAACCCTGATAGTCTATGATTCTATGATCACTGATGAAAATATTGAATAGCATCAAGCCTAGAACTGATCCCTGCAAAACCCAACTAGGAACAGCCTCGTTCACTGACAATGGCCCCTTTGTCAACTGCCTTCTTAGATATGTCAGTTAATCAGTTTTTAGTCCATTTTATGTGTGTTATACTGATATTGTATAGTGTTTATATTTTTATCTGAACGTTTTCTCCTACTAAATCAAATGCCTCCGAGAAATCAAAATCTATTTCATATCCATGGTTCCCTTGTTCAGCCAAATGTGTACTCTCTGTACAAGGCTGTAATCAATTTTATTTGAGAAGACCTGTTTTCCATAAACCATGTTGTTGATTGGCATTAATTATATTCCTAGACTTTTTTTTAAACTAATCCCATTCCAGCTTTTCCATTGTTTCCTAATTTGTAAAATCTAATTTTAAATTTTCCGTTTTTTAAAAATACTTTATGTTTAACACAGAACTGTTCTGTATTCACTTTTTTTTTTTTTTGGTTCGACTGCTGCTGCCTGATTGTGAACTTCTGGTTTCAATGAGATGTGGTAAGTTCATAACTCTGGTGTTCGTAACTCTAAGGTTCTCCTGTTGATGCTGTTTAACATCCTCCTTGACTGCTAATAGGCTAGAAAGTATTTCATCATCACATGTGATATAGAATCATAGAATCATAGAATATCAGGGTTGGAAGAGACCTCAGGAGGTCCTCTAGTCCAACCCCCTGCTCAAAGCAGGACCAATTCCCAACTAAATCATCCCAGCCAGGGCTTTTTCAAGCCGGGCCTTAAAAACCTCCAAGGAAGGAGATTCCACCACCTCCCTAGGTAACCCATTCCAGTGCTTCACCACCCTCCTAGTGAAAACGTTTTTCCTAATATCCAACCTAAACCTCCCCCACTGCAACTTGAGACCATTACTCCTTGTTCTGTCATCTGGTACCACTGAGAACAGCTGAGTTCCATCCTCTTTGGAACCCCACCTCAGGTAGTTGTAGGCTGCTATCAAATCCCCCCTCATTCTTCTCTTCTGCAGACTAAACAATCCGAGTTTCCTCAGCCTCTCCTCATAAGTCATGTGCTCCAGACCCCTAATCATTTTTGTTGCCCTCCGCTGGACGCTTTCCAATTTTTCCACATCCTTCTTGTAGTGTGGGGCCCAAAACTGGACACAGTACTCCAGATGAGGCCTCACCAATGTCGAATAAAGGGGAACGATCACGTTCCTCGATCTGCTGGCAATGTCCCTACTTATACAGCCCAAAATGCCGTTAGCCTTCTTGGCAACGAGCACACTGTTGACTCATATCCAGCTTCTCATCTACTGTGACCCCTAGGTCCTTTTCTGCAGAACTGCTACCAAGCCATTCGGTCCGTAGTCTGTAGCAGTGCATAGGATTCTTCCATCCTAATTGCAGGACTCTGCACTTGTCCTTGTTGAACCTCATCAGGTTTTTTTTGGCCCAATCCTCTAATTTGTCTAGGTCCCGCTGTATCCTATCCCTACCCTCCAGTGTATCTACCACGCCTCCCAGTTTAGTGTCATCTGCACACTTGCTGAGAGTGCAATCCAAACCATCCTCCAGATCATTAATAAAGATATTAAAGAAAACCGGCCCCAGGACCGACCCTTGGGGCACTCCTCTTGAAACCGGCTGCCAACTAGACATGGAGCCATTGATCACTACCCGGCTTTGTATCCACCTTATAGTCCATTCATCCAGCCCATACTTCTTTAACTTTCTGGCAAGAATACTGTGGGAGACTGTATCAAAAGCTTCGCTAAAGTCAAGGAATAACACATCCACTGCTTTCCCCTCATCCACAGAGCCAGTTATCTCATCATAGAAGGCAATTAGGTTAGTCAGGCACGACTTCCCCTTGGTGAATCCATGCTGACTGTTCCTGATCATTTTCCTCTCCTCTAAGTGCTTTAGAATTGATTCCTTGAGGACCTGCTCCATGATTTTTCCAGGGACTGAGGTGAGGCTGACCGGCCTGTAGTTCCCCGGATCCTCCTTCTTCCCTTTTTTAAAGATGGGCACTACATTAGCCTTTTTCCAGTCATCCGGGACCTCCCCTGATCGCCATGAGTTTTCAAAGATAATGACCAATGGCTCTGCAATCACATCCACCAACTCCTTTAGCACCCTCGGATGCAGCGCATCCAGCCCCATGGACTTGTGCTCGTCCAGTTTTTCTAAGTAAAAACTATGAGTACCTGATATTGCTTCTTTCAGAATGCAGAACAAAACTATTTCTTGAACGTTTTCTTTCCAAATGCAGTACAAAAATGTTTCTAGAACACGTCTACCTTTTCTGTGACATTAGCAAGTTTCCTTTCTCCCTCTAGGAATTGGCCTACACTTTTTCTAGGATTTTCTTCTGAATATATGTCTTTAACATCCCTTATAAATTTTCGTAACTTCAATTTGTATCCTGGCTATAAATTTTACCTTTTCCCCGTTTGTTATATATTGCCTCCCTGCCCCCCCACCCCCGAATTGCTGTCTTTCCTTTACCACTGAATTGTGTTTTTAGCAAAAACTGTCCACTTTCTTGACTGTGGAACCATGGCTTTTTGGCTATCTAATACATTCTTCTTAAAGAACTCCCAATTTTCCTTCCCATTTTTTTCTCTCCGAATTTTTCCTCCCAATCACTTTTTCTGGTAGTTTGCCTCAGCTTTGGGGAATTAGCCCATTTGAAGCACTGAGGAGCTACAAATACTTCTGGCTAAGAACTGTTCTCTGTTGATTTGAATGTAATCACTTCCAGTCTTTATTTTGCTCTCCTCTTTCATATGCCACCCGATTGGTCTTTTCTCTAAACTAAACAGACCCAGACTTTTCAGTCTGTCCACATATGGTAGCCTCCTCCATTCTCACAGACTGCTTCAGAAACCCCCTTTCTATTGGTGATACCTTTATAAAGACTGGGTGACCAAAACTGAGTGCATGTCCAGAGCAGGTTATTCTCCATCCCATTCCTAAGGCATTCTAACATTATCACGTTTCGCCACTGCTGTGAATGAGCAGGTGTTTCCATGGAGCTGCTAACAATGACACCCAGGTCTTTTCCCTGAGGTGTGTTCTCGCTGAGATGTTTCTCACTGGCACATGTCTGGGAAAGGTTTAGATTTTTTCCACTCAGATGTTGAACAACTGGGTTAATGGGGAACTCCCTACAGCATGGATTCTCTAACCTGGGTTTCATTGCAACAATGATGGATAACCAGTATCCACACTTGTGTTTCCTGCTGGTGCCTGTTAAGTTTTCCCAAACAAGACATGTAGGAATTCTTGTTACAGGGAGCACAATGCAATATGGAATTGGCATTAGAAGGGTCAGTTGTTCATAATTCATTTATCTGAATAATGAAAATGGCATTTTTTGGTCTGTGAAGAGCGACCAATCTGCTTCACCCAGGAGAACAGCCTCCAGTAGTGCATGTAGTGTCTCATATTAACATTGTCTCTCCATCCAGGCATTTGTACTGCCACCATCACCCTAGACCCTGGGCACATACAGAAAGTCTGGTGAATGTACGGTACATGCAGGAGACACCGTTCTGCCTCAGCGTTGGACACCTTCTCCCTTACTGCATGTCTGATTCCAACACAACCGACTTCACAAACCCCTCCACCTTCATCCTGCTGGGTATTCCTGGGCTGGAGGCAGCGTATGTCTGGATCTCCATCCCTTTCTGCACCATGTACACCATAGCCATCTTGGGGAACTTCACCATCCTGTTCATTGTGAAGATGGAGCCAACCCTCCATGGGCTCATGTACTATTTCCTCTGCATGCTGGCCGTCTTTTGGTTCAATTCCAGGGAAACTGATTTCAGTGCCTGCCTCACCCAGATGTACTTCATTCACTGCTTCTTAGCGATGGAGTCTGGCATATTTGTGGCCATGGCTTTTGATCATTATGTGGCCATCTGTGATCCTCTGAGACATTCCACCACCCTGACTAACCCTTTGGTGGCCAAGATCAGCCTTGCCGTGGTGCTGCGTGGCGGCATGTTCATACTGCCCTATCCTTTCCTGGCAAGGCAGTGGCCATATTGCAGAACCAACATCATCCACCACTCATACTGTGAACACATGGCTGTGTTGAAGCTGGCCTGTGCTGACATCCGTGTCAGTAGTTACTACGGCCTCTTTCTGGTCTTCTTGGTCATTGGTCTGGATGTGTTTTGTATTGCCTTGTCCTATACCGAGATCCTCAGGGCCATCTTCAGACTCCCCACAAAGGAAGCCCGGCTCAAGACTTTTGGGACCTGCATCTCCCACCTCTGTGTTATCTTAACCTTTTATATCCCAGCTCTCTTCTCCTTCCTCACACACCGGTTTGGCCACAATGTGCCCCTGCATTTCCACATTCTCGTTGCCAACATATACCATCTGGTGCCCCCCATGCTAAACCCAGTCATCTACGGTGTAAGGACCAGACAGATCCGGGACAGGCTCCTCCGGCTTTGTGGAAGCAGAGAAAGAACTGACAGGAAGGGGATGCAATGCATGACAGTTCGTTAGCAAGAGTTAGGCTAACTGTAACCCTAATAACGCGAGATTTGTAGAAGCGAGGAATGTGTGAGGCGAGTGGGAAAGAACTGTGTGAGAAGTTGTTGCAACCTTGTGTAGATAAAAATGGAATGTAGACTAAGAGTCTACATTAGTGAGCAAAACAAGATATCAGAATGACCTATGTATAAACAAAATGCTGCTGTTGCTCATTATTGTCTGTAACAAAAGGTATAAATGCTTGCTGTCATTGTTTACCTGTTGAGAGACCTGCTTAGCTCTCTCCCTCCGCGCAATTGTGAGAGTTAATAAAGCATCTGACTTGCTGTACCCAAACAAATAGTGAGAACTCTGTTTTTCTCCGACAGCTTGTTACTCATAAAGGGATGAAAGTTTTCTCCTGGTGCTCTGGCTCTCAGACTGAGGCCTGGTCTACACTAACCCCCCCACTTCGGACTAAGGTACGCAAATTCAGCTACGTTAATAATGTAGCTGAATTCGAAGTACCTTAGTCCGAACTTACCGCGGTCCAGACGCGGCAGGAAGGCTCCCCCGTCGATGCTGCGTACTCCGCTCGCCGAGCTGGAGTACCAGCGTCGACGGCGAGCACTTCCGGGATCGATTTATCGCATCTTAACCAGATGCGATAAATCGAACTCAGAAAATCGATTGCTTACATCCGGACCCGGATGTAAGTGTAGACGTACCCTGAGTTCCACGCAGAGCTGGTTGGTGACATTGGGCTGATCCCTCTTCCCTGAATCACTGTCTGGAGAGTGAAAGTGACATTAAGCCCTTTCCTGACCTTATTGTGCTGTGTCTGTGTGCCAAACTGGAGAATCGATCTATGTACAATTCATTAACTCATAGGGATGCCACCTTTCCAATTTCTGTCAACTGGACCCCTGAGATGCTGCCCGACTCCTTCCTCCAATCCCCACCCCTGCTGCACATCTCACCTCGAGACTCCTCCCACTTCTGCGCCCTTTCCCCCAAGGTCACACTCCTGTTGATCGCTCCTCTCCTGCCTTCCCCGTCACTCTCTAGATCGTCTCCAGCTTCCTCTCCACCCCAGCTGTGCCACCTCTGCTTCAGGGCTGGCAAAGGAGCTGCTGCAGCCTGAAAAACAGTCTGCCTGCTGGTAGGAAGCAGCCCCCGATGAGTAGGGGTGGCATGAGTTAATGACCTGCCATCTCCCCCACCCTGCAGTAACTGGACACTGCCAGTTTCCCTTTTTGACCTGACTTTCTGGTTGAAAACTGGTTACCTGGGAACCCTAAATGGCACACAGACACATAAGCCAACAACTGGACTGTCTGGGTAAAACCCAGATGCGTGGAAACCCTATAAACTCATGTTTGCTTGTACGAACCTTATGCCTTTGGGCTTTTCCTGTACTCTTCACTCACATGCCTTGTGCTCATAGGCATCAGTCTATAAATAAATTGGTCATTAAAGAAGACCTCACCCAGGCAGAAGAAAGGAGTAAAACCAATTTTCTCCAGAGGGAACAGAGAGAAGGGGAGTTGGTCCAGCCCTTTAAACACACAGAGACTGGATGAGTCAGACGAAGCTGGGGCAGGAGAGAGGCACAAAGGTGGCAGAGAGAGATCTTTGGTTTAGGGCTTAGGGCTGCAGCAGAGAGACAGACTCCAACTGGAGGAGAAGCCATCAGTTCCAGGAGGTGGACCCTGGATGTCATGGAAGGCTCTGACCAAATCCTAAAGAATGCTCCAGGGTGGTGAGGACACAGAGGCAGGGAATGGCTTGCAGGTGTCATATTGTGTTTACCTGGATCTGGGTATTGCTTGTGCTGTCTAAAGTAGATGAATTGTTTTAGCAACCCCTTTTGCAAGGCCCGGGTTTGTTTGCTTTAAAAATCTTGTGACCCAATAGAGAGAAACTGGAAACAGAGTGCGCCCAAAGGGGAGTTCTGGGATGGGTGTGCTGAAGCAATTGGAGAATCTGGGGAGCCAGGCCAAAACTAGTCTCTGGGCCTTGGCACACAGCTCTCCGTTCCCAGAGTGAGGTGCTAGAACAGAAGCTGCACCCTGAGAGTGGGCCTAGAATCCCAAAGTCAGAGGCAGGGCCTGAATGGTGCTGAGACTCAAAAGCATATGGGACCTCTGTGCGGGACCCAAACACAGCTGCCCTGTGGGTGTCTAACCGTGACAGGAAACCTGGAGTTGCTACATGGATGCTACATGGTAGCTAGGGGACTGTGAGTGGAAGGTAAGTGCAGCTGGGCAGGGAGGTGTCCACAAGATGTTCTCTTCACCCAAATCTGGCTGTTCTGCCCTCTGTGTTTCCCTGAGTGCACTTGTTCCAGAAGTGACCCAGCCAGGCTTCCCTGAAGGAAGCATCACAGGTTTGGGGTCAGGGAGAAGGTTTGACTCTCTCTTGGAAAGTGCGCCCCCGAACAGAAGAGGCAGTGAGTCACTGCGTTGCGGGCCACCCCTTATGCTTTATGAAAATATGCTTTTAAATATGAATATGACATAACTGGAATATGCTTTATGCGAAATACTTCTTGTAAGATATCTTTGGAAAAGTTATAATCTACCGAATGTGTTCATCCTATTTATGTGCATGTATCATGCTTATATTTAAAGTTAAGAATATGAAGCATATGAGGGCCATTAATGGTAATTCAGGAACTTGATGACTCTTAAGCAAGAAACAATTGGCTGTGAAAGGATTTGTTTTCCTGTAAGTCTGTGGGATGCCTGTGCAAGAGGAAGGGTGCTGTGAAGGCCTGTGTCTGTGTCACCTGATACTGGAATCCATCTTGGAGTTGATATTTTTTCACAAGGCGGGGGGAAAGTTTAAACAAAGAGACACACGATTCCAGGCTTTTGCCAAATCTATATAAGGGTGTGAAGCAGGATAAGAAGGGAGGATACCCCATCTTACCACCCAAGATGTCTGCTGGATCTAACAGAGACTGAACGGGGGAAGGATTTGGCTTGGACTAGAAATGAATCTAATCTGTAAAAGAAGCTTATTGGAACATCTTTGAGAGTGAGATATAACATGCAACAAGTTTCTTAGGGCTGGTCTATACTTACCGGGTAGTTCGACGGCTGGGGATCGAAGTTCCGGGTTCGATTTATCGCGTCTGGTCTGGACGCGATAAATCGAACCAGGAAGTGCTCGCCGTCGACTGCGGTACTCCAGCTCAACGAGAGGAGTACCGCGGAGTCGACGGGGAGCCTGCCTGCCGCGTGTGGACCGCGTCTGAACCGCGGTAAGTTCGAAGTAAGGTATGTCGAATTCAGCTACGTTATTCACGTAGCTGAATTTGCGTACCTTACTTCAACTTGGGGGGTAAGTGTAGACCAAGCCTTAGTGTGTTAAGCTTTGCTTTGTGTGTTTGTTTTATTTTGCTTAGTAACTTACTTTGTTCTGTCTGTTGCCTCTTATGATCACTTAAATCCTACCTTTTGTACTTCATAAAATCACTATTAATAAACCCAGTGTAAGTAATTGTTATCTAGGGGTGGGGAGCAAATAGTCTGTATATCTCTCTCTTTACTTCAAGAAAGAGGGTGAACAATATGAACTTATTCTGTGTACAATTATATAGAGTGTAAGGCTGAATTGTCTGGGGCTCAGGTCCCATTGGAGCTGTGCATTTGGGTGCTGGGGCAAGTCCCTTTTAACTGAGCCTTCCCAGAGTTGAGCTAATCTCAGTGTCTGTGTTCATAGAATCATAGAATCATAGAATATCAGGGTTGGAAGGGACCTCAGGAGGTCATCTAGTCCAACCCCCTGTTCAAAGCAGGACCAATTCCCAACTAAATCATCCCAGCCAGGGCTTTGTCAAGCCGGGCCTTAAAAACCTCTAAGGAAGGAGATTCCACCACCTCCCTAGGTAACGCATTCCAGTGCTTCACCACCCTCCTAGTGAAATAGTGTTTCCTAATATCTAACCTAAACCTCCCCCACTGCAACTTGAGACCATTACTCCTTGTTCTGTCATCTGGTACCACTGAGAACAGCCGAGCTCCAACCTCTTTGGAACCCCCCTTCAGATAGTTGAAAGCAGCTATCAAATCCCCCCTCATTCTTCTCTTCTGCAGACTAAACAATCCCAGGTCCCTCAGCCTTTCCTCATAAGTCATGTGCTCCAGCCCCCTAATCATTTTTATTGCCCTCCGCTGGACTCTTTCCAATTTTTCCACATCTTTCTTGTAGTGTGGGGCCCAAAACTGGACACAGTACTCCAGGTGAGGCCTCACCAATGTCGAATAAAGGGGAACGATCACGTTCCTCGATCTGCTGGCAATGCCCCTACTTATACAGCCCAAAAGGCCGTTGGCAACAAGGGCACACTGTTGACTCATATCCAGCTTCTCATCCACTGTGACCCCTAGGTCCTTTTCTGCAGAACTGCTACCTAGCCATTTGGTCCCTAGTCCGTAGCAGTGCATGGGATTCTTCCGTCCTAAGTGCAGGACTCTGCACTTGTCCTTCTTGAACCTCATCAGGTTTTTTTTGGCCCAATCCTCTAATTTGTCTAGGTCCCTCTGTATCCTGTCCCTACCCTCCAGCATATCTACCACTCCTCCCAGTTGAGTGTCATCTGCAAACTTGCTGAGAGTGCAGTCCACGCCATACTCCAGATCATTAATGAAGATATTGAACAAAACCGGCCCCAGGACCGACCCCTGGGCTACTCCACTTGAAACTGGCTGCCAACTAGACATGGAGCCATTGATCACTACCAGTTGAGTCTGACGATCTAGCCAGCTTTCTATCCACCTTATAGTCCATTCATCCAGCCCATACTTCTTTAACTTGCTGGCAAGAATACTGTGGGAGACTGTATCAAAAGCTTTGCTAAAGTCAAGGAATAACACATCCACTGCTTTCCCCTCATCCACAGACCCAGTTATCTCCTCATAGAAGGCAATTAGGTTAGTCAGGCATGACTTCCCCTTGGTGAATCCATGCTGACTGTTCCTAATCACTTTCCTCTCCTCTAAGTGCTTCAGAATTGATTCCTTGAGGACCTGCTCCATGATTTTTCCAGGCACTGAGGTGAGGCTGACTGTCCTGTAGTTCCCCGGATCCTCCTTCTTCCCTTTTTTAAAGATGGGCACTACATTAGCTTTTTCCAGTCATCCGGGACCTCCCCCGATCACCATGAGTTTTCAAAGATAATGGCCAATGGCTCTGCAATCACATCCACCAACTCCTTTAGCACCCTGGGATGCAGCGCATCCGGCCCCATGGACTTGTGCACGTCCAGTTTTTCTAAATAGTCCTGAACCACTTCTTTCTCCACAGAGGGCTGGTCACCTTCTCCCTATAATGTGCTGCCCAGTGCAGCAGTCTAGGAGCTGACCTTGTTCATGAAGACAGAGGCAAAAAATCATT